TTACCCATCACAGGCGTACCATAGGCATGATTACACAACTGACCAGCCAAAAACCCGGCCCTATGCGCGGGTCGGGTTGTGTCCAAATTTCAGCGCAATCGGTGCAGTACTTTCGGAGATTAGATATAACACAGAAAAAAAAACCTTCCATTTTTATATATATAGATTTCCTTGAAGTCAAGATTCCGGCTGAGAGCACAACGATCCGCGTGATTGTAGTAAGAAATCAACAGGTATTTAGTAAGAAAGAGAAAATCTGAAATGTACGAGAACGTGGTACTTAAATAAACCAAAGAAGTACAAAATGTCTTTCCAGTTGAATCCACTTACGCCAACCAGATCAGTCAGCAGTGATAACTTGAATTCCCAGTCGAAGTTCAACTTTTCACATTTGAGGACATTCTGAAATGAGGAATGGGGAAAAATATCATACGCATATATTCACAGAACAAGCAAACGAATCTTTTGTCCCTTTGGTACATCAAGGAGTAGATTACCTTGACGTTCAGGATTCTGCTTTAAGTGAATGTATGCTGAAAATTCTAAAAGAAGGCAACGAGGGGCCGGCTGCTATTGACTTGAGTCTGTACTACAAATATATAACCTCTAATATGTTTCATTCCTCAGACTTCCAGGAGGCCTACCCTTTTCGGTAGATGTACTCTTCTGCATACGTCTGAGAACTTGTTTTTAGTCCTATTTGTCTGACAAGCACTAGTGTTTTTACTAGTCAGATTATTCTTGATAACGAAATGTTTCAGAGAGTCGCTAAATTTACAAGCGACTAAAGTCGAAAAGTGCTCCTTAGCTTTCACTTCACTAGTACGGCATTTCAGACTATAAAGGGCCATCCTCCTTATAAGACGGGCTCGAACCTCGTGATGAGTTCAATAATAGCACTTGAGGAAGTTGTTGAAGTCCATGTAAAATCGGGCATTATTTCAATTTATTTGCCAATCCTTCTCTTCGAATTTGCGGTTAACCCACGAACAACAGCAGTGATATGGACCCACCGTATTTCGGGTGGCGTTGCCTTATATTCCAAGAGGACTAGAATTAGGTATAGGGTTGGGGTGAGGTATAAAGTTGGTATACGGGAATAGCAACTCGTCCGGATGTTAACACGAGGCCACCCGTAATACAGGGGCCCATATTCCCGCCTCTGGCCAACGTTTTGCCCGTTGAAAATCTGCCACGACCCCCTCAGTGCGTGTTTCTTAGCGGCTACAATCAGCAACCCAAGTCTCGGTTATCAGAAGGGGACGGAAGACACTAGAATGGACGATTTATACTGTTCAGAGCACTGACCTCCTGTCCCTGATAGCATTGGCTGCTAGCGAGGCCAATGAAAGAAAGCAAAGTGTTGGGTCATGATCGAGAAGTCGAGCCTATGGATTCGGCTGCTTTTAGCAATTTGCCTCAAAAAGGTCATGAGTTTTATCTTCGATTAGTGTTACGTGAGGGAAAAGGGGTTTTGATTGTTTGGACGCTCGGGCCACGCAGTCGGTCAAACAGCGAGTTCGCCATGTCTAGGAGTTTTTACCTGGAACACGGATCACGATGATGCGCCAGAAAGCTTAGCAAAGATAGAAGGCGGTGGGCTGGGCACGGGCATAGGTTCCGCTCGTGCTGCCGGTGACCTTGCGCTAACTTCCATGGAGGTACCTATTCGCGTGTCCTAACTTTGACCCCAAACTTAAACTTAAGCCGAGCCCTAGTCCTAATACTATACCTCTAACTGCCCCGGAATTTACGTCTACTAAGGGGGTACATATAATCCTGCCTTACCCGGACGGTGTAGGGATGTGACCGACTAAGTCTTTCACTGGGTAGACGACGTCAATACCGTGCTTATTCAAGCCTACTTGAGGTGGTAATGATGGCTGCGTCCGATTTTCTAAACGAATTTTTTTAAGAGTGGCGCGTATCACTATGATAAACGCTAAGTATTTAGGGACACATCATTTTCATGCGCATTTAGTTGCAGTATCGACATTAATATATACAACTAGCTCATCACGAATACTCTCGTAGCGTTCAAGGGCAAAGGAGAGCAGGGGAGCAGTGAATACTGACATGTGAGAGTTTTGATCTGTTTAAAAATATTCACTAGACATTAGAGGCATCATAAATACAAAAGTTCTGCTGTAGGTTTTTTAATTCGAAAAGTGTGAATGAAGGGGGAATTCAAGGATGGCGCAAGATCCGTGGATTACAAAGCCACGTGCAGCCACATTTAGGCGATTGGGGAAGGAATCTGCTATGTTGCATAACTTACCTTTAGACTTCCCCGACAGCAGTGCTCGTAAACAAGCTTGAACGATGTGCAATCAACAAAACATCCCAGCATTACGTTCAAGTTTACATTTCGGAGTTCCCGAAGCGAACGCAGTAGTTCGATGTGTTTGGATTTCAATGTATTCCCTGGAATGCCGAGATCCTTTAGGAATATCGTGATTCCCTGAAAAGAAACCCAGGCATAAACACTCGCTTAAAGTGTACTGTTTCATCTCAAACACAAGATAAAACATGCCGGTGTCGGAAAACTCGTCAGCAGTTTAGTTCATATTATTTTCGAATCCCTTTTTACGTCGCAACACCTTTCCTATTTGGAGCCCTAATATATCGGCAGGGACTGTGCACACATCGCCGAGTGTGTGGACGCACAAGAACCCCTCCCAAACAAAAGTCGACTTCTGCCGCAGGCAGCACGACCCACAGATAGAGATGGATAATAGGGGTCTCTAAAGGATTATGGTACCACGCTGGCGGGAAGTATATATTTTAAGTTACCCAGGTTCTTCGCGAAAGAGGCATATTTTATTGCGTACATTTTAGAAGCTGGTCCACCAGCTCGCCGTCAGGCAAATGGAGAACGCACACAAACAGCTGGTTTTAAATCATGTCCAACACAAGATTGTGCGTTTGGTCGACATTTATGCCATGAGGATTCCACCGTATTCAGTAACCCGGTCGGCATTGGCTGCGTCTGTCTCCACTTGGTCTTGCCAATTTTTTACTTGACATCTAAATCGATACGCCTACTTATGTATGCCTTGTCTGTGTGCATTGCTTCCAGGACTTACGGCCCTTTGAATTGGGCAGGCGCCAACGCTGCGAGTTTTCTCTCACGCAAATGTTCGTCCTGTGTCAAGTGTATGCATAATTGGGATGTAGGGGCGTCCAATTGTGAGTCCACGTGATGGTCATAGTAGGTCGCTCACTTGCTTGCAGGTGTAGACTACGCTTAGTGTCCATTAACTGGCACCCAACTCTCGCATGTTGTTCCCCGCAGATAGGCTCTGCCTAGCGGTCACATCCCGGCAACCGCCTCTACTGGCGGGCTAAACCAGGTGAGGGTATCCGTGCGTGCATCATGGTAACTCAGCTCCAGCCCCAGCAATGCTGACCGGAGGGATCGCTGCTCCGGCATCTCCAAGGTGAGGCTCCGTCTGCAACTCCGCAGGAGTCCACAAGCACTCGGCAAGCTGCTGACACAGTGGCTGGAAGACCGTCCCTTACTTCTCTTTCGCACATATTCTCTGCTCTTCTCCACTGCCCGTCATTGTCTCTGCCCTGTACTCTAGTCTACTCTCTTACTCCGCGGACGAAAGTCCAACGGATCACCGCATCACCACTTCCAAGATGAAGCTTCGTTTGCAACCCTGCAAGAGGTCACAAGGTAAGTTAAGCCCCAGGTAAGTCGGATATCGTTCTGTTGCGTTTGCTTTTTGTTGTTATGGCCTACTTGCTTTATGTCTGCTCGTTCGTGTCCGTCCTCATTGTAAGCTAAATGTTGTTCTGTTGAATCTGTCTGCTCACCGTTTATATTTTAGCAATCAGTTAGCTTAGAGAGGGACGGGAAAGCTCTGCATCCCGTCTCCCCACCCTCCCCCCTACAAGTCCTACGGCGTGGGTGACAGCGATATCGTAGGCGGTCCAGGATAACTCGGGTCGTTCTCCCACTAACTCAAGACGTGGCCCATAATGGAGTATGACAACCGTCTGTATGTCCGATCAGCCCTAGTTAGGGACAGCGTTGCTCACCCCGCGAGGGGGAAGGAGCTAGAAAAGGTGTTCTAAACAAATTCTGGGATCACGGACTCCGCGCTGAAAGCGACTCGCAGACGCAAAACACACAGTCGAACCAGTCAAACAAGAAGTAATACTCTTTGCTTCCGCTGCCCCTACCCGTCGCCCCACCCCACAGACTGGTGGGGTGAGTCCGCTCAGTCTGGCAGCCTGGAATGTTCGCTCCATTTTAGACAATCTCAGGAGCAACCGACCGGAACGGAGGAGGGTGTTAGTGGCTCGTGAACTGGCGCGCTACAAGGTGGGCATGGCCGCAGTCAGCGAGACCCAGTTCTCCAAACAAGGCCAACTGGAGGAGGTGGATGCCGGCTACACCTTCGTCTGGAGTGGTCGCCCCAAGGCAGGGCGACGGGACGTGGGCGTCGCCCTTGCCATCCGGAATGACATCGTGGGTCGACTACCCTGTCTGCCATAGGGCATCAATGATTGCCTGATGAGCCTCCGACTGCCTCTCTAAGGAGACAAATTCGCCATTATCGTCATCACCATTCGCCGCCCCCATTACCAGTCCTGATGCTTCAAGGAACAAGTTATACGAGGACCTGCACGCCATCCTTTCGAAGGCGGATAAGTTGATTGTCCTTGGTGACTTCAATGCTTGCGTCGGCACAGACCATGCTGTTTGGAGAGGAGTACTAGGTCCACATGGTCCCGGCGGCTCCAAAGACAATGGCCTTCTGATGCGAGAGAAGGCCACCTGGATGCACCCTCTGTCGCGACACGGTCACCTGCTGGACTACTTCTTCGTCCGGAGGCGAGACCAGCGGGATGTGCTGGTGACAAAGGCGATCCCCGATGTCGATGGGTGAACTGACCATCGCCGCGTCATCTCGCAGATGCGGATCCGCCTACAGCCACGTAGGAGACCTCGACATAAGCGACCCCCAGGTAAGCTGAATATTGCTTTGTTGTCTTTGCCTGCTCACCAGTTCCATTTCAGCAATGAACTAGCCAACCCTCAAGTTGCCGCCTCTGCGGTCGCCGCCGCTGTTGCCAACGAGAACGCCTCTGTGGATAACTGATGGTGCCAGATCCGGGGCACAGTCCAGTCGATCGTCCTGGCTGTCCCCGGGTGCGCACGTTGCCAACACCAAGACTGGTTCGATGACAACGACGTCGCCATCAGAAACCTACTCGCCGAGAAGGACCGCCTGCACAAAGCCTACTTCGACGGCCCCATCAACGACAACAAAGAAGTCTTCTACCGTACTTTCCGCCCTGTGCAACAGCGGCTGCCGGAGATGCAGGACTATTGGACGGGTCGCAAGGCCGAGGAAATTCAAAGTTATGTCGATCGCAACGAATGTAAGGAATTCTTTGCCACGATCAAGGCTGTCTGCGGTCTCACAGCCAAAGCATATTCTGCTCTTCTCAATGCCCAAGGAAGCACCCTACTTGCTTAGTGGACGGCAATTCTTCAGCGATGGGCCGAACACTTCAGAAGCGTCCTCAACCGTCCCTCCACCATATCCAGCGCCTCAACTGCCCGTCAGCCTCAAGTAGAGACCAACGCCTACCTTGACATCCCGTCCTCTCTCCTCGAAATCATCAGAGCCCTGCAACAGCTTTCCAAGGGGAAAGCGTCCGGTTCGGACGCGATCCCTACTGAGATCTACAAACACGATGACTCCCAACTCATGAATCATCAGATGGCGCTCTTCCAGGAAATGTGGCGTCAAGGACAAGTCCCGCAGAATTCCAAGAACGCCACAATCTTCCACCCCTACATGCGCAAAGGTAATATTCAGCTCTACGACAACCATCGAGGCATCTCCCTGCTGAACGTCACCGGGAGGATCTTCGCTCGCATCCTTCTCAACCTTCTGAACAACTATCAGGAACAGGATCTCCTGCCGGAAAGCCAGTGCGGTCTCCGACGTCATCGTTGAACCACGGACACTATCTTCGCCACCCGCCAACTTAAAGAGAAGTGTCAGGAGGCGCGGACCCACTTCTACTCTACTTTCGTGGGTCTGACGAAAGCCTTCGATTTGGTGAATCGTGAAGTACTGTGGAAAATCATGCAGAAGTTCGGCTGTCTTGAGCAATTCACTCACATGGTGCGTCAGCTCCACGATGGCATGACGGGGCGCTTCACGGACAATGGATCTGTCTCAGAGGCATTCTCAAAGACCAACGGTGGGAAGCAGGACTGCGTCCTCACGCCTAAACTCTTCAATCTCATGTTCTCTGCCATGCTGATGGACGCCTACCGTGACGAGCGCCCCGGGATCCGCGTCGACTACAGGACTGGCAACCAACTCTTCAACCGCCGACGGACGCACTTCTAGTCACGTCTGTCTACAACTGTCGTTCATGAACTTCTCTTCGCCGACGACTGTGCCCACAGCACCACCTCAGGAGGGACCATGCAAACGAGCATGGATCTCTTCGCCGCCGCCCGTGACAATGTCGGTTTAATCATCAACACGGAGAAAGGACGTTCCAGGCACCAATCGGTCTTGTTCTAACTGCAGCACCTCGTCCAACACCGCCTCACCCCCTCACGAGGACAACTAATACTGTCTTCACTCCGAAACCTCGCTGCCACCGCCGCCGCCGCCGCCGCCG